CTATTAACTACTATTTAGTACTAAAACCCCTCACTTAATAATATTAAAGTCCTTAATATATAACTATAGTAATAAATAGCCTTATTAATATAAAGGTTAATATTTATACCTATTAACTTATTAACTACTAAACTCTTTATTTTTATTAATAGCTTATTTACTAATAATACTAACCTAACGTTATAGCTTAATTTTATTATTATTCTTACTAATAAAACCCCTTCTAATAAGAATAAGTTTATAATTAATAGTAATATTATCTACTTTAGTTTTATAAAAAATAAATAAATTACTTAAAGTATATTAACCTCTAAAGTCTATAATATAGTTACTAGCGTTAATATAGCTTATACTATCTCTATAACCCTCTAAATAATTACTAAATAGCTTAACTTACCTCTAATACTTACTATTATCTATATTAACTTATACTTACTATATAAATACCTTATTAAGCTAAATATTATAAAAAAGAAATATTTAATAATTAATATTATAGCTCTATAGTAGTTATATAAATACTATAAACTATATAAAATACACTAAATTAATAGTAATAATAACCTTATTAACACCTTTATTAAAATAAAACTTAACTAATACCTTATATACTTCCTTAATATAAACTTAGTAATAATATAGATAGAGAGATAGGTTATATAAGCCTAAGTAGCACTAATTACTAACGCTAGCCTAAAGTAAGATTAAGTAATAGTTATAGAGTAACTACTATAATAGAGGTTAAGAGTAATTATAGGTAATTACTATAATTACTAATAATTACTGCTTTTTACGTTATATATTATTTAATAACTTCTTTTTAAATTATACTATAGTTACTATTAACTATATTAACGCTAATAAAAAGAGAAAGTTACTAATATTAGTAACACTAGCCTATTATAGCGTTAATTAAGCTAGGCGCGCCTTATATAATTAGTAATTATATAAAGCACTAGCCTCTGTAATTAACGCTGCAATTATAGCTACTACTTCTAACGCAGTTAACCTTATACATATCACTACTAACGCAGTTAATATAATACGATATTTGCTGCCTACAGTGCCCTACTAACTAGCTAGTCCTATAAGACTAACATTTACTCTAAGTATAAACTAATAATAATAACTACTTTATAAAAAAACTACTTAAAGAATATATCTATTATATTTACTTACTTATAATATATAAAATAATACTATAGATATACTTTTAAGTTACTAAAAAATACCTCTATAGAGTTATAATCTAGTGAGTATAAGGGTAAGTATAGTAAATAAATATTAGTAGTATTATATATTATTTAGAGCTTTAATATATAATATTAACTTATATTATTTATAACTAAAACTAAGTTTCACTTTAAGAATAGGTTTATAAGTAGTAATACTAAGTACTTAATCTAATATAAGAAGCTTTTTTAGTTTATATAGCTAAGATATATAATATAATAAAGAATATTATTAAGAGTAAGTATTAATAATATATAATATTATTCTCCTTACTTTAGTATACTTCTCTTTAAAAGTTAAAGACCTCTTAGTAATTATACTATTCTTCTAGCTCTATTATAGTAATTAATACTACTTTTATTAATAAAAATAAACTAATTAGCTCTAATATTATAAATATCTTATTAATATTTTAAGTATTTTTTATTATCTCTCTATAGAGTAATATATCTAATTTTCTTCTTTTACTATTATATTACCTTTAGGTATTATAAAATTATAGAGATTAATACTTTTAAATTAAATTTATTAATAAGAAATATCTATAGCTTATTAAAATAGATATTTAATTTATTATATAATAGCTTAAGTATTACTTCTTTATATAATAGTATTAACTTATAGTTACTAGAACTTTTTAGTTAATATAGCTTTAGTATATCTCTTATAGTAATAAATAAAGTATAATAATACTAAATAGTATATTCTATATATTAAACTATATTTACTATAGCTATAATACTAAAGAATTTAACTAATAGAAGCTCTTTAAGTAGAGCTTTTTACTCTATACTAAGGGGTAATAATATTATTTAATATATATAAATTATTTATTTAATTAGTTTATATCTCTTTATCTTAATACTAATATATTAATATATAATAAAATTAATAGGGAAAAATAAAAGCTATAATATATTAGCTAGATTTAAGCTATTTATATTATATTATTAATATATATTATAGTTATAGCTATAGCTTTCTATTATATCTATATATTATATACTATAAGAAATATAAATATAAAAGTATTACTTTATCTATCTAAAACTACTTTAACTAATAATTAGACCTATATTTAATTTTAATAGGAATAGTTTAACTTTATAACTTATAAGCTTAGATATAACTAGAAATATAACGTTAATAAGATCTATTATAAAGGATATATAACTATATTAATAATAGCGTTAATTTAAGTTTATAATACTATATAATTATTATATATTATCTATAATTAATTAATAATAGTAGAAATAATAGAAAATAACGAAAAGATAATACTAATTAACGTTTAGGGTAGTAGTGTAGCTGAAACCCAAAAATCCCGCATTTATAGGGGTTTCGGCAAGGGCAAACGCAAATGAGTGCAGCAAGGCTTAGTCCGGGAATAGGGGCCCTTCACTGAGTCACTCGGCGAAGGCATGTTTGCAGCTTTGATCAAAACTTCCCCTCCAACATTGAGCTTAATCAGCTCATGTTTGTCAGCCGGGAAAAGTTCCAGACCAACATGAAATTTGAACCGGTGGGCTCGAAGCGGGAAACAATGCCGAGTTCCCTGTCACCATGCCACCCTTGCAGCGGGCTGTCGCTATTACCGCATTAGGAAGCCCGACGCTGACCATTACCTAAAAGTCGGGCCAAACTGACGGAGCCTCTACCGGATTCCCAGCTTGCGCTCGTTCGGACGCAAATGTTTTCCAGCTGCTAACCGGCGTTCAGCCGTTATTATCGGTTGGTCGTCTCTAGGTAATTGATGGTTTGCGGTTTGTACGCGTTGAAACCCGTCAGATTTCCTCCTCGTAACCCCCTGCTCCAGCACTTGAAGGCGAAAGATGGGTCCAAGCAGCAGCGCACAAACCATCGAGTTGCAACAGCTTCCAGCATTGCCACCTGGTGCTGGATTGCATGCAACAACAAAGCTTGCCGACGACGATGTTGCGGTATTGCCATTTAGAGAAACGGAGAGAGACTTGAGTTTGCTGAGTCCCAATCACAGTGGCAGTTCTCCTCAATCTACACCTCCCGAGGATGCTGTTGAGATCTTCCAAAAATGGAACTATCCTCGTTCCAACGTCGCCCGGATACTGTCCATCTTCTGGAGTCTGATGGTCATGGGCGCAAATGACGCGTCGTATGGAGTGAGTGATTGCTGTCCGGAAACTACTAATGTGCAAAGCCTTTTGACATGGTACTTACATGACTATCTCAACTATTTAGGCTATCATTCCCCATGTAAGTCAATACAAGACCTCCTGTGTGTCAGGTGGGTTGGTAAGTGAGGCAAGAAACTAACTGGGCGACCTCAGCTGGGTAAATACTATGAGTTGCCCTACTCGTTTACGTCGCTTATCTTCCTCGCGCCTTTCATCGGCCATACGCTGTCAGCGGCCCTGAACACCGGTCTCCACGAGACTGTCGGGCAAAGAGGAATAGCCATTATTGGCTCGGGATGTCATCTCGCAGCATACATCGCCATATCACTTCACCTGCCATACCCAGCACTTGTGTTCATCTACATGCTTGCCGGACTGGGCAATGGTATTGGTGATGCTGCCTGGAACTCATGGGTGGCCAGCAACCTGGCAGATTCCAATATGGTTATCAATTCCATGCACGCTTGCTACGGCCTCGGCGCCGTTCTGGGACCGGTGATTGCAACCACTATGGTCGTCAAGGCCGGCCTTCCTTGGTACGCGTTTTACTACTTCATGGTATGTCTCTGCAGTTCGTCCACACTTTCTCAAGATTAGCTGACACAAAATCTAGGCTGGCTTAGCGGGCATAGAGCTCGTCACAACATCGACCACGTTCTGGTCTGCAACGGGCAAAGCTTACCGAGAGGCCAACCCCAAAGGCCCGGAACCAAGAGAGTCGATCATTCATGAAACGCTTTTCAAGCTACCCAATGCGAGAACAACATGGGTTTGTGCCATATTTGCACTGGGATATGTTGGACTCGAAGTATCGCTGGGTGGCTGGATCGTCACCTTCATGTTGCAGGCCCGGCACGGCGAGGAATTCGCCAGCGGCATGACAGCAACAGGGTTTTGGGCTGGGCTAGCTGCAGGCCGCATAGCCCTAGGTTTTGTCACTCCACGCGTAGGAGAGAGATTTGCCGTGATGGTTTGTCTACTATGTAGTCTCGGTTTCTGGGATAATGCTGACCTATGTCATACAGGCTTATCTCGGAGCCGCCATATGTCTACAACTTCTCTTTTGGCTGATCCCGCAGTTCTTCATATCGGCCATCACAGTTTCGCTTCAGGGCTTTTTCCTAGGGCCGCTGTTTCCGGCCATCATGATAGCGGTAACAAGGTTGCTCCAGAAGCACTTACACGTCAGTGCTATTGGATTTGCCATCGGCCTAGGAGGTAGCGGTGCCGCGATTCTTCCGTTTGTGATAGGGGCGCAAGCTCAACGACACGGTGTACAAGTACTATCACCGATTGTATTGGGAGCTTTGGTGTTCTTGTTAGTGACGTGGTCTTTCTTGCCTAGCTTCGGTCGAAAGCAGGACTAGAGGGGGAATGGTTCAAAGCAAAATTTCTTCTATTATAATTAGATTCAAATGGTCGTAATATGATGAGCGTGCACTAACCCTCAAATCTGTCTACATATATTCTTACAAGCTATCTGCACAAACAAATGTTTGGCCAGCTTCCATGGATATACACATACAACCGCTACTCAATAAGCGCCCGCATATTTTGGGTATTGACGAAGTTTTGGTGCGTCAAAATAATTATCCAATTTGATAGCTTATTCTAGCTACATGTAATCGACGAGACACTCGGGGGGTTGCTGCTATCGCTCCTTTCCAGCATTTCATCGTCAAAATGGTTTCCATACTCGGGAGGCACGTCCAAACCACCGTCAGGCTCCACCAAATCCGCCGCCTCCGGGCTCTTCGGCCACACAAAATTGTCAAACGCATCAATGGGTATCTTTGGAGAAACAAATAAAACAATAGGCAAAGTGGCGTGGTATCTGAACTACAGTTTCGTTAGCGTGCAGTCTAAGATATGTCTCCTCACATGATACTCACCTTCAACAAGTTGTCGTCGGGCTGAGCAACGTCGACAGCTATATGAAGCGTGTGTGTTGTACCGAGTCCTTCTGTGTCCATATCTGGAGAACACTTCTTCGGGTCTGTTGGTAGTGGTAGGTTTTGTATTACTCGATACACAGGTTGGCCGCAATCTTCCGGGGTTTCCACCGGCGCCAACCATTCCGCAACTTGGCGATCCCCATCGAATTGCTGCAGGGGTCGAGCAGTATTAATGGCAAACTTGTGAGACTCCAAGAGCTCGCACTTGATCTGCTTGATTTGCAACTTCTTGTTCAGCGGCGTCAGCTGTATCTCGAGGGGTACCGTTGTGCCGAGGGCTACAGCCTTGTGTGCTATCGAGATGCAGTATCGGATGTTGTCTGCCCAAGTCCCTTCCATGTACATAGGATCCATCAACTCAAATGCCGAGTTCTGGACCGTTCTGTTGATACGAATCGGTTGGTAGGCGGTAGGCATCGATGTCGACGTCTTTCCTCGGATTGTCGATGCAGAGAGCTGGTATGATATGCTACAGTAGCTGCATCCTCGGAATGTCTCTGGCGTGTTGCCGGGTATGATCAACTTGAAGGGCCACTCGTGGGTTTCGATGTCACCCGAAGCGGTCGAAGAAACCTTTTGCCCGTGGTCGATGACGAATGGAGGCAACTCGTCTTCATATATCGGAATGGTACGAAAATCGGGCCTCTTTGTGCTTACATCGTGGTCTCTAGAAAGCGCATGGTTAGTTTCAATATACTCAATTGTGTGAGTTTCATACGCACCTGCACCGGAGAAAGCCAACCATTCGAAGACGTACTCCGGTGGCATGCTGCCCGCAAGGCAGGCGCAAACTGAGCACTCCGCTTAGCGTTTGGTCGCTGGCTTCATCAACTGACCCTCTCAAGAAAACAAAGTCTTTCTTCAATCTGATGGTTCAGTCGTCAGCAAAAAAATTGCATCAAGGAACTTCGTGTTCCATACCGGATCTTGAGACAAGCACTTCCGTCCCCACCAGTGATTCGAGATAGGAAAGACCGCATTGTTCAGAACCTCCGCTTCTCAAAGAGGTAGTCTGTGTTGATATGGCCAACGAGAACCCATCATGATCATGATGATGGGAGGCGGAACGAGATTAAATCAAGAGATCCAGTGAATTGAAGGTGGAAGTTTCTCGTCCATGTCGCCACAGGCTGATCAATTGTCCGCGGTAGAAAACATTCGGACTGCTGATACAGACCGACACCAGGTCATGCTCAGCCCTAAGGCAGATGGAGGCATCCGCAAAGGAGCCAGGGGCTCACGCGAGATGGAAGCAAGGGTCCAGGCTAGTTGCATGGCGCCAATGCCGGTGGGGAGTATTTCCTGAATAGGAAAAAGCGGTTGGTTGGGGGCAGTTTTCCGAGCTCGGGTTTCCTCCGTTAATGACATATAGCAAGAAAATTTCATACGATCATGAGAGAAGAAAAGCCATGATTGACGTCGTGGCGTCGCCTGATTTCTGCACTGAAAGAATATGGCTGCATACTGGATAATTCTGCGCGTATGAATCGCGCTGGGTTGACTCATGCGTGAGGTTCTGGCCTACAAGGTCTGCGAAACCAAACCTTCAATTTTCCTATGGCGGGATTTGTATTCCGCCTTGTAATAACAGAGAAGCTTAGCATGTGTTAAGCTTCTCTTACAGGGACTTTTTGGTGACACATTTTTGGTTCTTGTTTGCTAATGAGACTCGTCCAAGTCGTGTAAGTCGTGGAACGGACCGTGGCGCCGAATCTCCCTGCGAAACGATGCGGAGTTCGGCGGAGTTGGTCCGGAGATGTCCCTTGGAGTAACTACCGGACTTGCCTGATTCAAGAGATCTGCTTGTGTGGGTAATCCTCGGCTAAGATGCCATCCCAACGGCTTGACGACGTCAGTGTTTCGTAGGACGGAATTCAAATTCCTGGACGAATCAGCGGCGAGAATTCCTCTGTTCGTTGGACTGGACTAGCTAGCCGGTTGCACCACAGAATGCACGCCAGTTCATCGACGATCATATCATCTGACGCGGGTCGCACATAAACCTGCTGGAGCTATTTCCACTAACATTTTTAGTCCCTGGTCGAATGAGACATGAGTGTTTGCTCTGGTCGCAGTGCCGGTCACATGCCTTGGCGTGGTCTTTTCGCAGGCTTAGAAATCTTTCCCCGCCGGGAAGGAGTCATCATTCTTGCTGCCAAATCTTCCCGTTCTGGCTTCATGGAAAACTCGCGATGTGTTGGCCGATGATTTCCCGTCGAACAAACAGCATCTAGGCGGCAGACCACGTCCATCCTGAAGCTAAGAAAACGACATTTAATCCTGTTCCTGTCGTCTTTCATCTCGTATTGTGTGATCAGTGAATTTCTCGGTGATAAGTGGTCGCCTGTTGCCATCCGCCTTCTCTGGATTGCGCCGTCATCGTCTCCATCAATCAGCCTCAGCTGAGGATTCACGCGCCCCATTCACAAGTCGCCTTGGCATTCCCAGCAATGTCGCAGGCCTTATTGTCTATGTCTACCATTACGAACATGGCTGCGCTCCCCGCATTTGGGGGTCCTAGTCTGGTCCAGCTGAGTGAGATCCTCGATCGCTCACTCGATACAAGACTTGGACGCGACCTATCAAGCACCCCTGCAAACCTCTCACGGGTGGTCTACATCCCCAGACACAGGGACATCACTGTCCATCTTCCACTGTACGATGTGTCGAGCACCTACTTTGACGCCGTTAAGAAGGAGCCGATAGGAAGCAGCAAGTACAAGCTGAACCTTGCCATGATGAGAAGGCCAAGCGGAGATGGAACAGATGCCGAGGTGCGCTACCTTGTTGATTTTCAAGAGAATGCCAAAGAAAAGACTGTGGTAGTTGAGCGCAGAGTTCCTACACACAACGGGGAAACAGTCAGCATGTAAGTCAACTTCATGGGTACTTGTTTTCTCGACAGAGATGCTAATGCCTATCAAAAGGACTTTGCCGAAAGAAGGAGACGGTAGCTTCCAAGTCGAGCCGTTGAACACAGGCTCTAATGCGCGCCTGTCGCTTCACAGCTCATTTCCTGTTCCCGACACGAAGATGGTGGAGCAGCAAGTTCGGCACCCCTGGTTCACGATATCTCATCGCACAAACACAAGTGCGGACGCACAGCCTTCAAACCTGGAATGGCAAACATGTCCCAAAGAGCATGGGGCTCTCCGATACACGCTCGTCGACACAAGCGTAGATCCTACAGATGGCAAGCCAGTCGTGCACGCCATTTACCACCACGCTGGAATCGCTTTTGCCCTGCCCCACGACTACAGCGAAGGCGTTCTTCTTCTATCGGAGGATCTTAATGATGAAGCAGAGGCGTTGGCCGTCACGACCCTGCTGGGTCTGCTGGAACGAGTTCGCCAGGTCAACCAGCCTGCACCCCGACCGAGAAAGAAGTCTCTCGTGAAGAGGGTCCTGGGAAAGATTTGAGACAAGAAATGCGGTGTGGAAAGAATTATTGCCAAAAAAGGAGATTGTTTGAAATTGTGTGGGACAGAAGATGTTTCATTGGGACTTTAATTACTACTAACATTCTGCTGGGATTTTGCAACAAGCGGGCCGGCAAGACCGAAACCTCCCTGGCCATGATACCCTCAAATTTGTATTATCAATTCTCTTATACCACATTCATAGTTGAACTGCAGCTCACTCTCCTTTCTACTAGATCCGCGTTTCCCATCTCTACCTGAATTCAAGAACCCTGTTACTACGTATGCTTTATCATGCAGCGGGTAGCGGACAGCGCTCTAAAATCACCTGCAAAAATGGCCGGGCATCCACGAAGTCTAACGTCGTTTCCTCGCCTGAACACAGATGTTTATGGATATGCACTTATGATGACATCCAGCTGATCTATTTTTGCTGCGCCGGAGTACACCTACTACTGTCTCGCGGCCTGCATAAGAGGAGCTTGATAGCCAGACTCGGCGCGAACATTGGCCATGATTACCTTCAGCTTTGGGAAATATTGAGTCGAGTAAGCTATTGTCTTATAAGGTCAAAGTTCACGAATATCAAAGCTGTATGCCTAGATCTTATGATAATTTATGTTTCAGACTCGCATCCCGAACTCCAACTCATGAGTAGGGAACCTAATGAGGCCAACCTAGTCCGTGCGTACCTTCAAAGACGTTGGGACATGGCTTTGAATCTCAAGCTTGTACGTCGTCTATTGATTGTTTGATTGTGGCTTTCAACAATATCCTACTGTCGATATGGCATCGTCTGCTGTCGCTGATGCGCACATCCATCTAACGTCTGGAATGTCGGGCTGCGTTTCTTTTTTGAGAATCGAGAAACACTTCATTGCAGACCGAGGGACATTCTAAAAAGGGTTCCCCTCCCATGGCATTCGCCCTTAAGCCACCAGAGGGCTGAAGTCTAGGTCATCAAGTCTTGACTCAAACGGTTGGTAATGACTGAACGAATTGAATAATTATATCAATTCTTAAAACATCTATAATTACGATTTACAATGCAACTCTGTCAAACGTTCCGATGTCGGGTGTGACACCCAGAAGTCGCCGTCTTGAGTTTCACTTGGTGGTGCCGTTGTCGGGATGGTCACCCGACATGATAAGACCTTTCCGATCCGACATGTCGGGACCGCGCACCGACTAGCCCTTTCCGGGGTCACCCCCCATTCCTCGCCTCCGACACTGCAGAAAATGGTCATTCTTATCTCAAGAAACTTAATTCAAAGGATCCGATAACGCCTCTTCTCCAGATTTTGGGTCGCGCGAGAGCCAATCAGTGCCAATAAACCGTCTTGTTTGCATCTTCAAGTCCCGTCCGTCTTATCCACCTGGTGGAGCTCTGGGAATTCTGGACGAACGCCGCCAGAACCCGCGATGGAGCAGAGCCTCAATGGCACTGACTATCTTTAGTGCGTATCTGGGGTCTGAGACAAATCTCGGAAAGCCGGTCGGTGGGAGGGGTGGTGGGCTCGGCGAAGCTGCTCGACGATACCCCAAGTCATGCCGCCACTTTGACACATCTAAGGTTTGTGCCGGCCGTAGCCGTCCGTAGCAACTATATCTAACCCTCCCTCATCTATCTCTCCCTCCTTCGTGACTGAGCACACCTCGTTCATCCAAACTCTACAACACTTCACGATGTCATCCTCTGTTATGTGCAGGCGCGTGCCCGTGCCTCTTTGCAGATCTCTTCGTCTGCAGGGAGCACCAAGAAATGTACACACCACGGCGGCGAACCGTACTAGCACCGCGGTGTCAAAGCCTCAGACTCTTATTCCCCAGACCACGACCACAACAAAAAGGTCGGCCCTTTCAAGATTACCAACACCAACCCTCCTCCGATCGCTATTCCTCACACAATTCACATCTTCGCCACTATTGATGAGGCTATCACTACCGATCCTCGGCTTTATCACAACATCAAAATCACTACTATTCAACCCCGACAGAAACCCGCTTCTAAACAAGCTGTTGAGATGGACGATATACGACCACTTCTGCGCAGGAACGAACGTTCCGGAAGTTAGGAAGGCAGTTGCCAACGTTAAGCAGATGGGTTACCAGGGAGTCATTCTCAACTACGCTAGGGAAATCGTCCTGGACACGAAGAAGGCACAGGCAGGATCGAAGGAGGGAGACTACGCACCGGCCTTTTATCAGATGGTGCAGGAGTGGAAGAAGGGTAACCTCGACACGCTCCAGATGATGGAGCCTGGCGACTTCATTGCCGTCAAGTAAGTCTATCCAGTCTCGTGCCCTAGAAGCTCAATGACTAACATAAGATCCTCAGAGTTACTGGCG